TTTTAGTCTCATATTGAGACCTATTTTTGGCATAAAAAGTGATCGAATTGGAGAATGGTGTCTGAATCAAAGTTGTAGCCAGATGAGTTAGCTTTCCAACGCATTTTGAATCGCCTCAATCGGATATCGGAATACAAAGTTATGTAAAAACACTGAAAGAAGGTGCAGCTGCCTGTTTTAAACAAGAAATTCCGTTACATAGTTCGTTAAAACAACAAATTCCGTTAGTTTTTCCGTAAAAAACAAAAAATTCCGTTACATAGCCACTTTTAATATATAGAAGATATATATATACATAGACAAAACAAAACAAGATTCAAGAACCCTAATAATAATAAGAAAGTTTATACTAGTTCATTCGACCTTTTTCATTATTAGGGTCCACGCCCATGTTCATACATATATCATACTTGCATTGAATTCGGTTCACGCCCAAAAGTTAGAGTTAGCGTCCCTCCTTTTTTACTACCCCTGCCAACGGTTTCTTACTTCTTCCCCTTCTGGCTTATGCTCCCTTCAGTTTCTTTAAAATGTGTTTCTGAATAAAAGAAACTTGGGATGTTGATGACATACGTATAGAAATATAAATTTGACTTGGTGTGTGGGTTTTTTTCGGAGAAATGGGTTCCTGTGTTTCGGTGCACAAAAGTCGGAAATTATCAGCTATGAAGCTCCATCTGTCAATGAGGTTGAAAAATGACAAATTTGTCGCACCATCTCCGGTGAAAGAAAAGCCGGCGGAGGATACCGGAGGTGAGAGCATGATTGCTAACTTGATTCTTAAGTCTCAGTGGTCACCGGCTCCCCCTACCACCACTTTTCGTGACACCGGTACGACTTCCCGTCAGCTGGCAATTTTTTTTTTTTTTTGAGGTTTTGTTCTATCAAATGAGTTATTTGTAGTTTCTACTCTCTAGTTTACATGGTAAAAATTGTTTATTAATCTTTTTGTTTGATTATTTTTCCACTTCAATTATTATTATTATTTTATTTATTTATTTTTGTATCTGATCTCATGTTATTTTTATATTTAATTAATTTCTTTTTTTGGTTGGTTTTACCCCAATCTTGTCCCGGATGAACAACAATATGATTTGTTTCAAGAATTGAATTTCTCTTACCTGGAAGAATTTTACTATGGCAATGTATAAAATTTTTCAGAAGTAACAGTTTTTTAGCCAGTTTTCGTAGTGAATAATTGATATTATTAGTCCTAGATTTAGGTAGCATGTTGAATAATGTTAAAATTATTGGTACCCTTGGCATTGAAATATCTCCACTTCTTATTAGAAAAAGGACGCAGTTTCCATCTTGAAAACTAGATTTCAATTATCTATGGCTTTTATGCATCAAAAAATGGCCTTCAAAGGCCTTGTAAGGTTTGGTATTTGTTTTCTTTGAAAAAATCTTCTGGCATAATGTATTATGTCCTGGGGGGACCATCTACCTAGTGATAGAGAAGTGGCAATTAATTTTGAGCAATGGTCACATTCCTACAATATTTTCTTGTGCTGTATATTGAGATAATAAGATATAGACTGCCTAACCTTTTTGCCTATAGGCTATAGTTTTATTGACGATTAGCCAATAGTTTTATTGACAATTAGCCGTTAATGCCTCTACATTTTTATTTGAGGTGCTTATTATATGTTCTTGCTATTTCTATATGAAGACTGTGACCTGTAGAATATTTTCCTTGTAATAGAGCAAGGAAGGTGGAAAGTTGGTAATTCACCTCAAATACCCTTTTAGGTGAATTTGTTATGAAATGAAAATGATCCTTCCATAAACCTGGCCCAATGTGGGTTTTAAGCATTTGCTGTACTTGGGATAATAAGAGTTCAACAACTCCCTACCCTGCTTTGTTGATTGGAGATTTTAATCATATAGTGACTACAAACCTAACGATTGTATGGCTTTTGGGAATATGACCCCACAGAAAATAAATGGACAGCACATATGTTAGTAAGTTATAGTTTTCGCAAATGATGTTCCTATTGTGAGCAACTAAGCCCTCATGAAAGGGAGTAATGGTTGGAGGAGGTGAAAGAAATTTACACTCATGTCTCAAAAGGATCTCGACGCTGCCCGCAAGAAAGGGCCATTTATATAATTATTCTATGCTTCTTGGTCATTTAATGAAATGGGTGAGGATGTCGCTTGTATTCTGCTTGTCTGCCATAAATGAATCAATAGTAAAGTTATTATTTCGCTGGTAGTTGTCTTTGGAAATCTATACCTCCACAATATGGATGCAGGTCAATACTAAGAATTGTAAGGAATTTTGTTGCTGCTACGGCCTTTTCATAGATGTTTGAATTCGAGACAATTTTTTATTTGCTTCCTTCTAATCATCTGGTTTTGTTATTCTTAGTTATCGTTCGTATAATTGTTTGCAACATATTGACTCATCTTAGTTAACCAAATAAAGTTGAGTCACCTAGTACTACTGGATAGTAGCACTCACTCTAAGAATGAAAGGCAGATAAGACAATAGTGGGAAGCACAACATTTTAATTCCATGTCTTAATTTGTTGATATATTTCATTGCATGCTTCTAGCATGATCATGGTACTAGCCTATCCAGATTGATGATTTTTCAGTCCATATTTGCATGCAACCAGCATAAGATATCTAACTAGTTGGCTATTCTATTTTTCTGCTTCTCTACTTGAGAAGTTGAAGTTAAAGCTAAAGCTTTTGCATAGCTTGTGGAGGCTTGAATGCAGTAACTTCAATCTCGCGCTAAGAGAATTGGTGTTTCTTTGGACTTCCTAATTTGCTCATAATTTATTTAAATTCTGAATTTCTTTGTAACTGATGAGATATAAAATAATGAATGTAAATCAATGTTATTTAAATTGATGACTTATTGTCTTTTTTTTTTTTAATTCTAAGAGAATCAAATATTTGAGATGATAGAACTAAGTTAATTGTATTGTCTATTTGTAAATATTCCCGTTCTATTCTTCTGATGTGGCAATTTAATCACAACTTGTCCTTGAGATAGTTTCTACATTTGTGCATTTCTCTTTTATGTTTTGATATGGAAAGCACATTAAAGAACCAACATAAAAATGTTAGACCAATATAACACTATGGGGTTATACCAACACAAAAATACAGGCCTAGAAAGTTTTTGAGGGTATCCAGATTAGATGAACATAAAAATACACCACCACTACTGTTAGATGCATTGGTTACATTAGTGAAGTCAGGCTTAGAAAGGCTGTATACTGCAGAACCTTGATGTCTAATCACTTTTTAAGTGACATATATTTTGATCTGAGGCGTCTTAATTTCTTGCAGGTAGTAAAGGGGAAACCTTCTTTGATTCCCAAACTTGGTTAGAGTCTGACTGTGAAGACGATTTCTACAGTGTCAAGGGCGGTAAGACACATTCTAGATACTAGAAATTTCTTATAAGCTTTCTCCACATGCCATAAATATGCTTGAAAACAGATGTTGGTGGTTCCTAGATTTTTGTTCAGTTGATTTGCTAATAAGCAAGTTCGCATTGACAACTGATCCTAGGTAGCTTTTGTGATGTGGTAAACATAGATTCTGTTGTCACCGTTATTGTTCCACTACCAAATTGATAAAAGCTAAATGGATTTTGTCGAGTACGTCTTTAACATGAATTGACGTTATTTATACACTATTGTTTCTGTAACCTTCAAGTTGAAATGAAGGAGATTTTAAAAGTCACCATTGACACATTAATAACTATGAGGAATCTTGTTGAAGATGTACTCAGTGGCATTCCAGGACTGTATTACATTCTAATGCGTTCCTCTGTTGATCTAAATGCAGATTTTACTCCATCTCGTGGAAGCACTCCAGTGCACCACAGTTTTGCTGTGGGGACCCCTCCAGTGACTATACCAGAGGGAACCCCGGGTTCAATACTTGCAGAATCTCCTTCAGATAAGAAAAAGAGACTCTCTGAACTCTTTCAAGAGAGGTTACGAGTTGATCACGATATAGATGAGCAAAATACTGCAGGCAACAAAAATGGGGTTTCTGCAAAAACCGAGGTCAAGGCAAGCAACCCCGTTCTACCACCAAAATCTGCTAGTGGAACCCCTTATGCTTCTGGGGCTAACTCTGGGTACAGTAGCGAAAGAACTCCCAATGTAGCTCTTATAAGAGCGGAGGACAAATCCATGAAGTCTGCAGAATGTTGTATTCCAAGGTTTCGTTCAAATTGTAGCTTTAATGGAAGGAAGAAGAAGATGAGCCCTGCCCATAGCGTTAAGTGATGGGTGAATTTAGACTATGCTATAAGTTTTGGCATGATGTATATGCTGAGAGCCAAAATCCTGAAACTCTTCCCTCAACTAAATATATTACTTTGTTGTAAAAATTTGTCATTTGCAATATTAAAGCAAGTAGAAATAGTATTTTATTTATGATTCTTTTACTCGAGTCAAATTGGAAAAGTGGAAATTACACCCACCCCTNATAATAGATACAATTTTTTTATATTTAATTAAATATTAATAATAATATTATAAAAATTAATTTATACCCACCCACCCACCCCAACTTAACTTAAATCCCTAATTTTTCACGTTCAGTCATATCTCCCGTCTCCCTCACCCCCCCCTCTCTCGGCGGTCCCTCTCTCTCTCTCTCCGGCGTTGGCTTCTCCGGCGCGGCGCTTCTCCGGCGTTGACTTCTCCTTCCTCCTCCTCTCCCCCTCCCTCCCTCCCTTCTTCTCCCTTCCCCTTCTTTTGCTGCTGCTAATTGTTGCGCGACGCTGCCCTAATTCGCAGCAGCGTCCATCGGCAATCGGACTGCGCCGTCCCCTTCTGCTTCCCTGCAGTGGACGACAACGCGATCGACAACCTCGCAATCGCTCTCTCCGGTCTTACATCCTGCAATTCTTCCCTCGCGGTCGTGATTTCGATTTCTTCTATCGTCAATAGACTTGTAAGACTTTTTATAAGCGTCAAATTTTGATTTTATAGCAAGAAAAAAAAATTCTATGAAAGGCTTCGCTTTGTTTTTTCATCTGTTTTGTGGAATGTTAATTGATTCATGTATTCCTTGGTTGTGGAATGTTAATTGACTCTGTTTTTCATCTGTTTTGTGGTGGAGGTGGCCTGTCAAAATCTGAGCGCCGACAGGTTTGTGGTTAATGTACAGCGGCGCAGATCTTTTTTTTTGTTTGATTTCCGCAATGGTTTGCGTGGCCGATGATTGCGGTTGTTGTGGTGTGGTGGTGGTTTTGGATTTGTGGGGGTGGCAGGAGACGAAGTGTTTCGATGTTCTGCTTGCAGTGCCGTGCTCG